TTTACTATGAAGTTTCGTACAAAAATTATATCCTAAAATGGAAAGTTCATATGCACTACAATTTTTTAAAAGGTCAAAATATAGGTCTGTGTGGCATATTTTTAACATTTATATGCCCGAACTTCTAAGAGTTTAAACTTATACTAAAATCCTGTACTACCCCTCCCTTCACTTTGGGTCTTCCTCAGAATTCAATTTGACAGCTATCCATGTGTATTTATATTGGTAACATTCCCAAGTATGTCTCTATGAGGTGAAACATAAAGATCATATCTGGGAACCTGTAAAAAATCTATGAATATCATATATCTCCCCAAAAGAGGCGTGATTTGTGAAACAGCCGTATTTACAAAGTGCAACCTATAAATCATCATCTATTACCAGATCGTTGACTGATAAACATAATTGAAATATACCTGTAGTACCATCATTACAAATCATTTTTCAATATATCAAAATCATAAAATCATAATAGAATAGATGTGCTAAATTACAATTATATGATATTCGTTTTAAATGAAAGAATTGTATTAATCTTTATTGCAAAAGCTTAACATGCTATGGCAAAATTAACAACATATATTACATACTAGTAATATAAAACATTGATAGGGAGCAGAGAATAATAATCAAATATTATGACAAATTTAAATTGATGACACTATATGCGATCTAATATTCCATGCAGTTTTTATATAATTTGATAGTGAGAGACTTACTAAACGCTTGAAGTATATGCAAAAATTTATGAATAATAGGCCAAGAACAATAATACTTTGGTAAAAATTGTGTTCACACAGTTTTGATATTTCAACAATCTCTATATCTCTTGCAAATACTAATAGAGAGGTATGTTAACCAACACATAATGATACAAAATTATGATAAACAGTTGCGTTCGACTGGTCAATTCACCAATGTCCATGGTTGACCTTTAAAATGAAACAAGTTCTTTCTATATTTAATGCTGAAACCGCATAAGATATGAAGTTTAGATTTTTTTTTCAATAACACTGAGTCAGCAAAGGAATCAAAAATCAGATATATCTGCAAGGACACAATTGGAAGATTTTTGTTTTCAGAAATATAATGAAGATTTGTATTGCGATAAAACACACCGCGAAACGGCTGGATATATGGCTTATACCAGAAAATTAATGATTTATAACTTCACAACCTAAACCCGGCTACTTAATATACCTTTGCAAAGCCTACTAGTATTATCTCCACTTAACATTTTTTTTGCTTTATATGTCATTCTTTTACGTGGTTCACCTTTTCTTGAAAATATCATTCATTTATCATTATCCACCAAATGGATTTAATTTACCAGTAATGTAATTATAGTACATATAAGGAAAATGAATATGCAATTATCTTTAAACTTTATACTTAAAAGATATCGACTTTGACGCAAGTATGTACATTTGTAACATTGAAGTGATGATTTAACATAGCATTCAAGTTAAAAGTTAGTATCTGAAATAACTGCAAACTGTTAACAAATAATTCAAAAGGGGAAATATTCCCGGAGATTTATACTACAGGTAGTTAAAAGTAGAAAAAAGTCGATGAAACTATGTGAAATTCGAATATTAAAAATTGTAAATTATATACTTTTAAGTTTTTTAACAAATTGAACATACATCCCTTTGAATGGAATTGTCATTGTCAATTAAACTTGTCTGTTGGAAAACATTTTTGACATATTATTGTAAATTGTAGACATATCTTATTGTTGTTTTCCTTGAAGGACATTTTACAAAACAGAGCATATCTATTCTTCATTTTATATAATACTTTGGAATTTAATGCTAGGGACAATGTAACTGAGAGGGGAAAGAGGATCATTCAATCTCATTCAAAGTCGAAAATTAAATGACAACGCCATGGCTAAAAAAGAAAAGACCAACATACAAACAATAGTACACAAAACACAACATAGAAAACTAAAGACTGAGCAACACGAACCCCACCAAATCTGGGGATGATCTCAGGTGCTCCGGAAGGATAAGCAGATCCTGCTCCACATGTGGCACACGTCGTGTTGCTCATGTTAGTATAAACCCGGTAATGAGTATAATTCGATAGCTCACATTCGGGAAAAAGCGGGGACAGGATTGTCGTTACGACATTAGGATCATATTCGCTATTAACTGTGAAACGGATATTCCATTACGACCATTCAACCAACTCGTGATGGCGTCCGTAAAAAATACGAAGGGATTATTTCAACTTCACCTCTTGGAACTCTTGGTTTAATAGCTTCCTTGTGAGCAGCAACCCCCTATCAAGAAAATCATGATAGGAAATACAAGCCCTGGAATATCGTATCAACTGGGAGCTATATACTCCGTATGCAGGCGCTGCTGGAATGTTGCTACATAGAAATGGAAAGTTCACAATTGGGAAGCTGAAATCGTCTTATGTCGTAAAGTTTTGTTTTCAACTGACCCTCATTGTCAATTTCTAGATGTAAGTCAAGATATGAGGCAGACTTAACTGTATTTGTGTTGTATCCTTTATCTCAAGTTCGATGGGATATAAGCGTTCAACATGGTCACCAAATTTTGAATTATTTAGTGAGAGAACATCATCTATATAGCGGAAAGTGAAGTTAAAGAATAATGCTAACTTCTTACTTTCTTCCTAAGAAGTTCCTGTATGACGTCAACCTTATATGAATAAAGGAACAAGTCGGTAAGAAGAGGGGCACAGTTTGTTCCCATGGGAATGCCGATTGTTTGTTGAAAAAAACGTCTTCCAAACGTAACAAATATGTTGTCAATTAAGAAATCAAGCATCTTGATAATGTCAGTTTCAGAGAATTTTTTGTTGGAATCAGAGTGATTTTTTACAAAGTATGCGTTATGCCTCCCTAAGACAAGATACTTATCTACGTTGGCCATTATTTTTATGAAACAAAGCAGGACCAACTCTTTCAATTTTTCTTTTATTTTTTAATGGGGAATACTTGTGTGTAAAGTGTATGAAAGTCAAATGTTTTAATACTATTGCAAGATGAAAGAGTCTTAGATTGTTTGTACTCTGAAAGATCTTTGGAATTAAGTATGACTGTTTTCCCCGAGTGTGAATTTGCATTGCTATTTGACGTGTTTCGGTATTTATACATCCAACATTCATGTGTTTAGTTATGATTTTTCGTTTGTAATTCTGGTTGTTAATTGTGTTATGTCTTATCGTTTGTGGTTTGAATTCTATTTTTATTTTCTACATGTATGTAAAAGTTCAGATACTAGTAATTAATCAGCTAGTTCATTTATGTGATTTTTAGTTTAAAGCTACTATATGCACATGATATATTTGTTTTTACAGTTTAGATTTAGAACAAAAACCGGTTAGAAAATACAAAAAATTAATACTCCATTACTAACACAATCCTATATTAATATCCTTGTAATGGTTAGAAAATACATAAAATAACACCATTACAAACTTATTCCCAATTAAATATTCTAGTGGTGGCGTAAATTTTTAGAAATTTACCTGTGACGTCTTTTTTTGTGGCGTTGATACATTCGTGTGACGCACAGTTCATAATTCTATTGTGGTGTAAATGGGAGATGTCCATTGTTATACTGTGGTTTACATGTTGTAATGTACTATTATATTATCTATTTATGTATGTCTCTGTTCTGAGTGTTCTTGCGTTTAGTTGTAATGTATTCCTGTCACGTAATGTTGTCATTTTAGCGGTATGTTTAACATTATCATATAAGCGGGAGGTTCAGCTAGCCAGAAAACCAGGTTCAACCCACCATTTTTCTTAAAATGTCCTTTACCAAGTCAGGAATATGGCAGTTGTTATCAAAAAGTTATGTTGGCGTTTGTTTTTGTAGCAGCTTAGTGTTTATGTTGTTCCGTTGTTTTCCTCTTATAGTTGATGTGTTTCCCTCGGTTTTGGTTTGTGACCCGGATTTGTTTTAGTTAAATCGATTCATGACTATTGAACAGCGGTATACTACTGTTGTCTTTAGTAAATATCCACATCTGATTCACGCCATCTCTAGAATAGGTAGTTTCACAATAACTTTGAAGCTCGGCTTTGATTGCTGATGAAATTGATGTTAATAATTTAGAAAGAGGTTTCGTAGAGCACTTGGAAGACCCAGCAATATACCGTTGTTTGTAAGGACACTTATGTAGTTTAGGTTTCCAATACAGGGATGGGAGATCCAGTTCTTCATCTTTGATTGAAATTCCAAAGGAACATAGAACAGACCTATGATTACCCAGGATTTAGTAAGTGTCGTGGGGGTATATGTTGAGTTTAAAAGTAAATTGTTAATACCTAATTCATTTATCAAGCAGTTTATGTAATGTGATTATACACAAAAATGTTGTTTGGGACTTTATCTGCGGGGACAAAATATTTGTCATGGAGGTAGGACAAGTGTTTTGCAACATTTAGGTCTTTAAAGATTGATGTAGCATGTAGTATCTAAATGTTTGTATGAATACATTTGGGACAATAGTTTTTTTACATAAATTGATAAACGCTAAATAAGTTTTTTTCAATTTCCTACACGAGGACATTTGAAGGTACACGCAACTGAACATGACATTTTATCTTGGAATTCGTATTTTTGTAAGAATCAAAATCAATGCATTCAAGTTAGTCTACTTTATTTAAACTAGTCATATCCTTGATATAATTAACGGTGTAATATAATTTTTGACATTTTTAACTTTTATGACTGTTTGTTTTGCTCACACGTTGTTGTTAATATAATTGAATTCTATGTGACTGTCATACAAGTGGGAGGTTAAGCTAGCTATAAAACCAGGTTTAATCCACCATTTTCTACATAAAGAAATGCCTGTACCAAGTCAGGAATATGATAGTTGTTTTCCATTCGTTTAATGTGTTTGATCTTTTAATTTTGCCATTTGATAAGGAACTTTCCGTTTTGAATTTTAGTTGGAGTTCGGTATTTTATTTTTGTTATTTTACTTTTATATAATTATTTCATACATACCTGTTCAAATATTTCGAGACTATACGTATTGTCGTCATCAGCAAAATATATCACAGCCGGAATACTTGGATTGTGATTGGCCATTATCAAATCCAAAGCTGCATTCCTCTGATCAGCACCTTTTATGTGATTCTTTGTCGTGTTTCTTTTTGTTTGAGCAAAATAGGTAAATGATAAACCAGTTGATTGAAAAAGTTCCTGCGTTTTTAAATTAATAACTTCGAAATCTTCTACAATAATCCAGTGTAATTGTTTAACCAGTCGCAGGGTGTTTGCCATACGTGTAAGTTCAGCTTTTTGAACTAGTCTGTAATATGTTGGTGTGATAATGAAAATAATTGGAATATCGTGATTGTCTGCTATGTCGAGTGAAAGCAAATGTGACCCGCTAAGTCTTCTACCTAGTGCCCCGTTTAGTCTTCTACCTAGTGTACCTAAGAGATAAATGAATTCTTTTAACTTTCCTGGTAGTACATTCAAGTTGACAAGTTGACTTCCTGAAAATAAATTTGTTTCTTAAAACCCATAAGGCAAAACAACAGTATTTATTGTGATTGCAGGTAAACTTCTTCGTAAAATTAAAATACAGTACCGGGTTATATTGACCAATCATTCTAACAAACACTTGGGTACACTTACTTTTTCCTTAAGTTTCGCATGACTTTGTGCTGAGTGTTCTTGCTTTTGTTTGTACTGTAATCCTGTCACGTAGTGTTGTCATTTTAGCGGTATTTTTAACATTGCCATATAAGCGGGAAGTTTGGCTAGCCATAAAACCAGGTTCAACCCACCATTTTTTTAAAATGTCCTGTGCCAAGTCAGGAATATGGCAGTTGTTATCAGACAGTCCGGTTCTATGTATGTTGGCGTTTGCTTTTGTTGTAGGTCAGTGTTTCTGTTGTTCTGTTGATTTCCTCTTATAGCTGATGTGTTTCCCTCGGTTTTAGTTTGTTACCCGGATTTGTTTTTGCTTAATCGAATTATGACTATTGAACAGCGGTATACTACTGTTGTCTTTATTTGTTGAAGAGTTTTCAAATGTAAAATGTGAAACGTAATAGACGAAGATTGAAGATCAGAACGTCGTTTAAAATATGAGTATTGGTTTTATTTCTATGAGCATGTTTGGAAATCACATAACGAGAAATTGTATCTGAAATTTAAGTTGAGGAAAGATACATGTTGTTATAATTCCTGAAATAGATCGCATAGAACCGAGGAACTCAAAGTTAAATATTATTCTTTGGCTGCGTTAAATGAGCATGACTTTGTGTACCTTCATCCGGAACAATCATGGCCAAAGGTTAAAGTGACCAAAATGGGATTTTCACGCATCATATTTACGGAATTGATTTAAGAGATTTGTTGAGCTTCCAAAAATTTGCTCTGTCAACCAATGAGACAATAATCTAATTACTAAAAGAGCATGAAAACATTAAGTGATGATAATAAATATTTGATTTTCAATTAGGGATCGTAATGAAATAATGCGAATAAAATTAACGATTTTCAAGAGCTATTCACATGACATGGAGTCATCTTTACGTTGGTTATCCTTTTTTGATATGTTAAATGGGTAGACAGTTTTAGCAAAGTAGAAATCATTCTGATCAGAAATCTTGCGTTCAAGCAGTATTTATTCCCCACGGAAATGGTTTACATGTAGAAAAAACGCATATCATCTCCTACAGGTTGCACTTTGTAAATACAGCTGTTTCTCAAACCACGCCTCTTTTGGGGAGATATAGAATATTCATAGATAATTAATTTTGTTTAAATACTGGTTCCCAGTTATGATCTCTAGGTTTCATCTCATAGAGACATAACTTGGGAATGTTACCAGTAAATATACATATGCATATTGTCTATATAGAAATCTGTGGTAATCCTACAGTCAAGGTAGGGATAGTTAAGAAATTTAGTGTTAGTTTAAACTCTTAGAAGTTCGGGGCATATAAACGTTGAAAATATGCCGCACAGCCCTATATTTTGACCTTTGAAACAATTGTAGTGCATGTGAACTTTCTATTCTAGGATATGATTTTTTTCAAAACTTTCAAAAGCCGTAAAAGGAGTTCCTATGGGAAATTGCATTGTCAATATTTACAGAAATGCAACCTACAACGGGACAACATACATTTCTGCTTGTTATAGAGCATAGGTTTCGACGGACAAAATCGGCTTAAATACTAGAAAAACTGTAAATATTCTTATTACGGCACGAACAAGAAAGCGTTTGACTTCATAATGTTTCTTCATTCCATATTGTTTTTTGTGTGTTTTTTTTTTGTATTTGTTTTGTTTGCGTTTTTACCATGTATACAATGACGTGCATTGTAAGATTATACAAATCATTGAAGTTATTTTTAATAGTTTTGGGGATATGGGTAGGTAGAATTAATTGAGATCATACCCTCCGCGGCCTTGCTATTATGGAGGAATGGCGATTTTATGCATTAACCAAATACAACTTTGGAAAATTAAGACTAGAAATAAAGGTACAGTATTAGCTGTAAGAGAGTAACATAAAATCTTTGATTCATCAAGATTATAGCTGAACTTTCGAGTCCCAATAGAAAATATCTCCAGTCCAATTGTTGGTCCTTAACCCGGAAATAACTTCAAGTTGAAGTCATTATGATAATATTTATTCTAATGGATGAATTGATGTAGCACTGATATGGTTTCTGTTTTGAACTAACACTGGTATCAATGTTTTATTGATATTTTATTTTAACTGCAGTTAAGTTAAGTGTCATTAAAGACATTTCTTATGATAGAATTTATCATTTAAAAAGACTGATAACATTTTACAGATACGAGGTTTTTTTGTTAGAGAGCTGTCTTTCGTTAGATTTTATTATCATATTTGTACTTTTTCTGTAAATTTAGTAGCTTATAATAATTGCCCCTATTATGCTTTACCTAATAATTCAAGATTACATTTTCTGGTTTTGACCTGTGTTTGGTATATGTTTGTTATGTTTTACTCATAACTTAATGTCGGGGAGTTTACTGTAGTTTTTATTAGAGTTCTTCGAATGAACTACCTATTGTCTACACTTTTCGTTATTATGATCCAATTCAATGCTTTGACTTTCGGCCTCTTATACCTGTCCGTTTTTATAAAAATTGTATTATAATTTTAAGAAACGGAAAATTTACGAAACACCTCTCCAATCCTCGAATATTCATGTGCTTAAAGAACTATATTTCTGACATAAATTTCACTGCCGCTAATCGAAATTCACCCTCGAAAATAAGAATTTTTCACAATTGCATTATTAGGGGAAATGCCTCTGCAGCTAGATTATTCAACAAAAATGTACGACGATATCCCCTTTATTCTCGGGCAAGTCCAGAAAATGACAAACCTGCTCCAGATTATCCCTAGATATGTCTAAATATGTTAATAAATATGTATATGAAAACACACGTTTCACTAAGAATGCAAAATGATATATAATAGATGCTGTTAGTTTTCCTCCGTGAATGACCGATGGAAGTATATGTAAATATAGATAGTGTCTTTTAATGAGTTATTTGATAGCTATTGTAGATGATGATATGGTGGTTAATTACACTAAAAAAATTATATAAAAATAAAATCATTCATTAACATTCTTATTCAGTAATCACAGACTTTTTTAGCTTCACCTATATATTTGGTTCTTCTCGTGATGTGAAAAATAAAAAGCTTGCATCAAAAGCAATATGGTATTCCCATTTCATTTGCTTCTTTTAGAGTTTTGAACGACAACTCTAGCAATGTAAAAGATGTGCCTTATTTTCAATGCGATTATTTACTATTTTTAGAATTTTACTTAAATCAAAATTACCCGGAAAGAGGTTCAGATTTTTTCTTCATAAATTTTTACCTGAACTGACAACTTAGATTATTGGACGAACTACATGTTGATTGAATAATTATAGATGCTTATTCCACTACTTTATCGGATAAATTGTAATATTTATCCACTCTCGATGATTGCAATCATCGCAATTAAATAGAACATTTACCCTATATGGACTGGTAACTATGGTATCAATGGGGTATTTGTGAATGAATTTTTCTCTAATTCTTTATTGATTCTTGCTTTCCTCTAAATTTCCTATTGTGACGTCATGAAAAAAGGCGACCATGCCTGGTGACGTCACACCATGCCTGATGACGTCACACAGAAAGAACACATCTTTTTACAGATTATATGAAAAGAAGGATTAGGATTGTCTTAAGTTCGACTTGAATTATTAGAGAAACAGATTACACAACAAAATTTCGTGCAATACGATATATATCCACTCTCAACAGTTAAATTTTAAATATTTAAAATGCTCGGCGAGCCTCGCGTTTTAAATTTGAAAATTTAACTGTCTCGAGTGGATAAATATCGTATCACACTTGATGCAGTTGCCGAATCTATATATATACCAGTATACATTAGGTAGAATGATGATTAATTTTGATGTAAAATAACTTACTTGAGTGTTTTGTATATGAGAATGACCAAGTTATAACAGCAACTCCAGTTAGTATGCAAAACATCTTCAATGACCTTTTGATAACAAAAGTCGATATCTTTATGTTTTGAATCATTTTGGCATTTTTGTTCGAATATTATGTTTAAGTTTGTGTAACTGTCATCTTGCATCTATCAGTAAGTTGTAGAGTAGCTCAACATTATAAAATAACCTGAAAGGATAAATCGATATAAACGATTGTATACATAAATTGAAAAATGGAATTTTATCAATTTATGTTGATTTCACATAGAAAGAGATGTAATTGGTTAAAGAACACATGTCGCACCTATTTTTCGCTTTAGTACCAATCAATTATTTTTATTTTATTGTACATCGTCAGGAACTTTCCAGGCGGAATCCCATTTGAAATTAAACAAAAGAAATGAAACTCTTTATTAGAGAAGGTAAAAACGGCCAAGTTGGTGAATTTGAGTTGTTTACATCTGTTTCTATGGGATTTAAAAGATTAATGAATGTGCATAATTTAGAATTTTATGCATTTTATATATGTGTTTTTACATAAATTGTGGTATGGAGCTTCGAAATATTTGTTAACTCTTAAATTATAGACAAATGTTTACAAAACAGTTGATTGTGGTAGGTGCAAATACCGCATAAATTCCGCCGAAAAAAATTACAAAGAAAGATAACAGATTGATCCTTTTAAAGCATAAACTTGCATCTCTGCCCCCGGCGACCGTTTTTGGGGAAAAAATCCCCAAAATGGACAATAATTTCATCGAAAAGAGAAAGTCGAGTATATCTTTTTATGTTCTGGCGTGTTTGAGTTGACTATTCTGTCTTGAAAACGTATAAAAGAACAATATTTGATACATCATCTCGCTTCAGATTCTATTATTGTTTTATATATTTAGGCTATAGGTTGATATGATAACATTGAAAATTTACAGTACTGAAAAAGAAGATATATGGGTCAAGTGAAATACCTTTCTGATGAGAGTAGGTGTGTTCGAATAACAAATGTTTACCAAAAGTACTTGACGACATTCTTTACAAGAGGATCCTTTCATTTAAAAAAAATCATTGTGTGTGTGTGTGTTATCCGGGGTAATTAGTCTTCAACCTCTGAAAATTTTTAGTCTGCCCTTCCACGAAATATTTTTTAAAGAATTTTTAAAATATTTTTGAACTTTCGAAAATTCCCCTTGACAACCGATCAGACAATAGTTTCAATTTGACCAGATGCATAAAAGTATATTAAATGATGCCCAATAGCTAGTAGATAATTTTTTCTTTTAAAATACAACTAGCACATAAGGCACGTAATGATGCTATGTCGGTTTCCATGAGATAAATTGACAGCGCGTCATCAATATTATACAATGGCTTCCATTTTTACGATTATAAAAATTAGGTGGCGTAATGGGAGGATAATTTTGACGAAGAAGAATCCTGACTGTATCAATGTTGTATAAATGCCTGTCTTTATTCTTCCTATCTGTTGTTATACTATTTTGTCTTATAATTCTCGATAAAGTCATATATTAGTAAAAGTAATCAACAAAAAACATTATGAAGACATACTATAATATTTCGCTAAAATGAACAAATTAAATCAATTATTAACGTTAAGTGAGAGCTATTCTCTTTCTTGCACATTTCTAACAATTCTTATTCTCACGGATTATTCACAACTAGTATATAATATTTGCTTTTTAACATAACAATCTTGTTAATAGTTACATAGCTAGAAACTATTGCAATTTATGCTGTAATTGTTCTCTTTTAGCAGACAAAATGCGTTGACTTTATAATTTTATGTGATATACAGTCACTGAACGCTAAGCCTTAAGCCACACCAACTTCTGTAAAGTTCGTAATGAAGTGGACACACTTCCGCAAATCGTTCAATAACATAAACTCTTTTCTCCACATTTCGCCTACAGAAATTAAACAAATGATTTGTTTTGTTCATTACGTTCATCGTTTATTTTTGATACTAATATTCTATTCTGAAATCTATCGCACTCGTTTATCCGACTGGTTTCAACAGCACTTTTCTAGGATGAACCTTTTAAATAAATAAAATGCTAATACAAAATGAGTCTTCAATTGTTTAAGATTGCAGTATAGAGAGAACAAAAGTGTAATTCTAGACATAATAACAAAATTTTGCCTCGATTTTAAGTCTTATCGTTATATCGTTATTACGTCAAATAAATTCACTATTATTGTATATTTAATTAAAATGAAATCTTTGATTTTGTTATGCTTACAACAGAGTAAGCGAGTTAATGTAGATATGAATTTAAATCAGAATATATGTTATAAAGGTAACAAGATAGCATCAAATCCCTCTATTTCAACTACCATAGTCTCTCCCTAGTCGAAGAATTTCAAGATCAACTTTGAGAATGTTTAGACAATATTATTTTTACACCTCTTGTTTAATTAGTTCTTGTTTTTCCTATGAAAATCATGCATCGAATATTTCCCACTGGACATAAAGTAAGCAATAAGAATTTAATTGGAATGCACATTTACATTTTTCAAAATACTGATATGATATAAATTTTTTGGATCAAACAACGAAGAAACAGATTTGACGACATAGGGTCTTTATAGAAATTGGCTTATAGACAGTACCGTCCTAAGGCCATCAGTTAGCTGAAAATGTAAGAGAGTTGTGGCTAAAACGAGACCTTATAAACTCATCAAAGATACCAGGCTTATAATTTTGTACGCCAGACGCGCGTTTCGAGTTACAAAAGACTCGCTCAAATAAAAAAAGCTCAAAGATCAAATAAAGCACGAAGTTGAAGAGCTAAGGAAGAGAATAAGAGATCACCCGGGTCTAACTTTTAACAACATAGGGGAAGAAGCATCTATTTAAATGACTGTCGAGAACTCATGGATAAAACAAGTGTCGTCAAAAGAAACAAAATATCTATTTAACCCAATACTAGGATTTGGATTATACAATGACTCAATTGTATGTATAGTGAAGAAGCGAACATTGAAATCTGCAAAACAGCCTCTAACGAAAAAACTTTAGCTTTGAAAATTGACATTGAATGATTAGCATTTAGATTTTATTTTGGACTTAAACTGAACTGCAGCAGAGAAACCGAAAATAAGAACTTTAATGGCGAAATATAAATTTGTTTTAATATCTGATGACATAAACCTATAACCATTCAACACAAAACCAGGTTTTCACAACCGTACCAGAGGATTACTCCAAGTCTGTTTGAAGAGGTCAAAACACATATCAATATATCTTAACTAATTCCTATAACCACAGAGACCACATCGATACGCTGCATCTATTGTAGTTGCTAAGAAGCAGGGTAATTATGTCCGCCTATGCGTTGACTATCGACAATTAAACGTTAAACTGTCCTGAATGTGTTTCCATTACCACGGATATACGAATCTATAGACGTTTTTCATGGAGCAAAATATTTTAGCACATTAGATCACGCTAATGTCTTCATCAAATTGCCATGCATCCAGATGGCCAACATAAACTTCAGGTCACCATGCCGTTTGGCCAATTCAAATATACTAGAATGCCGTTTGGATTATGAAACATCCCAGGTAATGCAACTTATCTAATACGATTCCTTTTTTTATATATTTTATTTTGTATACCGACATGATTTCATGATATGCTCTAAAACAGTAGATGAAACTTATGACCGACTTAAAAAGGTATTAGAAAATTGAAAGATCATTGTCATCAATTGAAAGCATAGAAATGAAATGTCATTCACGAACAAGTCAAGAACTTGGGATGAATAATTTCTAGAGATGGCATTGCAACAGACCCGACCGAATAAGGTAAATTTGGTTTAGAAAAGGTCTGAACCAGTCACTTGCATTAATTTCTTGGATTTTCGAGGTGAGCTATAATCGTCGCCTTGTACCTCAATTTGTAAGCATTGCAAACCATCAGTATCACTTAGTTACGTTCTGCAACAAGATGAAAGACAAACAAAAATCAAATAAACACGAAAAAGAATCATGAGATAAATCTTGTACCACAGCATCTTGCACATTGAAGGAAAAGCTAACAACTTCACTAGTATTTGGCTTTGCTCGCTATAAGTCAGTGTTATTTAAAGAAACTGATACTAGTTGAGAATATTTAGGTTTGTTTTATTGCAAAGGCAGGATAAAGCCTTCGTGTTACCCATTATGAAAGTCGTACTCTTCAACCTAGTGAAAGTAATGATGTGAAATAAAGTTCTGCAAACTTGAACCTTCCATAGAATATTGAAATCGCAGTTATTAGATTTCGCATTTTTGTCAGAGGTCAAGGTTTCGAATTAGTAAACGCACGCTTAAATTTCTGAATTTACAGACCCAGAACAAGTAAAAACTACACGTTGATGAAAGACAAACACAATGTATTTCCGTCTCGTAAAATACGCTTACCATCTTCAGCATGCTGAAGAGGTTGACATACGACATCTGACTCTTGTTGCTGAAGTAGTTCTATGGAACGGAATATGTAAGGATGTGGTGCTTTTACGCATTTCTTGATCTTGAAATGCCATCTTTCTAGATTGTTGGCCGTCTTTGATTTTTCTGTTCTGTAATAGTTCCACAAATTCCGATTGCCTTCCACCCAATACTAAGTACCAATGTCTTATGAATGCCACAGCTGTGTACTTTGGCGCTCTGACATTACATAAGGTGGTTTTATCATTACTTGATGATATATTGTCATTACATGATATAGTTTATAAAGTACTTACAGAGGTTTTGATATGGTTATTGATGACTTGATATGGTTTTGTTATTACTTAATATGATTTCAACATCATTTAATGTGTCATTAGGCAATGTGGTTTTAGCATTACTTGATATGTGTATGGCTTCACGTAATGTAGAAGAGAGGAGAGGCGAAGGATACCAAAGGGACATTCAAACTCATAAGTCGAAAATAAACTGACAACGCCATGGCTAAAAAGAAAAAGACAAACAGACAAACAGCAGTACAAAAAACAACATAGAAAACCAAAGACTGAGCAACACGAACCCCACCAAAAGCTGGGGGTGATCTCAGGTGCTCCGGAGGGGTTAGCAGACCCTGCTCCATATGTAGCACCCGTCGTGTTGCTCATGTAAGTACAAACCCGGTGATATGTCTAATTCGGTAGGTCACATTTGGGGGAAGGGGACGAGATTGTAGTTACGACA